TTGAGTTCTATGAGTTTAGTTCTCAACTCGCATTTTAGTAGATTATAGTTTTAAGAGAATTCTAAGGAATCTCTCTTATAAAATAGATCTTGATTAAGATCTATTAATTCATCTTGTTAATAAACTGATCATTATATCTGTTTTGAAATTACATATTGGAATTGGGCTACATTCTAGCTAGTTATAACAAGAACACTATTATTATCTATCTTTAGATTAACTTTAAAATAATAGTAGAAATATTCTTGTCAATAAACCTTTTAAAGACTCTCCCAAATATCGTTTTAAACACGTGGTCACTTTTATCACATATTTTTGTAATATTAGATTTAATACTCACCCTCACCTCAAAACTCGCATCAAAAAGGTAATAATATATATAATTTAAAATATTTTTATAATATTTAATTCAAATTATTTATATTATTATAATATATATTACTTTAATTCTAATATTATATTGATTAGAATTATATTTACTTATTTTTTAATTGAAATCTCTATTTTTTATATATTAAATAATAGATATAAATAATTTAAAAATTATTATTAAGAAATTATTAACTATTATATCATATTTAGATATTAAATATAAATAATTATAATTCATTATAAAATTTCTTTTCAGATATTTAAAAAAATTATTAATATTAAAAAAACTTATATATTTTTAATTAATTATTTCTTGTATTTAAACTCTTATTTAAAATATATAAATAAATATATATATAATTGATCTCTTTATAATCATATCTCTTTATAATTATTTTTTTTTATAATTATCTTTTTAAGTTTTTCAGTTACTAATCAATTATAATTAAAAAAATCTCTATAATCACATCCTTTTTTAGTTATTTAATTTTGCTTCTTCAAGTATGATGATTATAGAGAGATCTGACTATATATATATGGATATGTATATGTATATGCATATATGTGAATTATATTTCTTGCTACTTAAATATAAGATTTGATTTTTTTTTGTATTTTTTGTATAAATATATTTTTAAGCTTATATTATCAACATAATTATTCCTTAACTAAAAGCCTATTCTTTATTCATCCTTATTCTTATTATTTTTATTCTCTCACCAATCAATCACTCTCAAGCATCCAAAAAAACAAAAAAAAATTACAACACTATCTTGTAATAATTCACAAAATATGTTGTGTTGCACAGCAGTACAACTCGCTAATCATTAAAATTCAGATTGACATGATCTGGATTTACATAATTCGAATTGACATATAATCCACTATCCTGCTTTAGTATTCATATTTTGGTTTCAAGTATATTCATGTAATATTGGAATTAATACATTATATTAAAAAAAGGGGGAGGGGGGGGGGGGGGGGGGGGTACATTAAATAGGATCTATATTCTATTTTTATTTGTATACCCGGGTAACCTAGTGAATTACGGTAATAATAAATTTTTTAAAGTTTCGACTTTTTAAAGAAAATTTCTGAAACATTTTTTCGTTGAATTTTGCCAGTTGCTGTTTTCGGCATTAGATCAGTAAAGTAAATTCGTTTCGGGACTTTGAATTTCACTAATTTTTTTCCACAAAATTCTTGTATTTCTTTTTCGGTGACTATTATCGTAGGACTACGATTTCCTTGTTGCTCTTTATTTAGAACAACAGCCGCGTGTATTTCTTGCCCGTATATGTGATCAGGCACGGCAAAAGAAACCGCATCACTAATTGCAGGATGTGCTAACAACACAGCATCGACTTCTAGTGGCGAAATCTTCTCGCCACCTCGATTAATCAGCTCTTTAATACGACCAGTCAAGAATAAATATCCTTCTTCATCGAATTTGCCTTGATCTCCTGTTCGGAACCAGCCATCCTTTGTGTAAGAAGATTTATTGGCAGAGGGATTATTTAAGTAGCCATGAGTGACATTATCACCTTTGATGCAAACTTCGCCTTCATGCGTCGGATCACCAGTCTCATCTAGAATTGCCACTTGCACACCTTGTCTAATTCCGACCGATCCGGGTTTGTGCGACGCAGGTGGTAATGGATTTGATGTGACTTGATGGGCTGCTTCTGTCATCGCATATGCTTCAAGTACCGGGACTTTGAATGATTGTTCAAGCCGAGCAAGTGTAACCGGGGCAAGTGATGAAGAGCAAGAACGAATAAACCGTAATTTTGGTACTCCGTTTGGCGGTAATGGATGCAAGAGTAATATTTGATGAATGGTTGGAACTATTAATTAATTAAAAAAATCATCCTCGTTTTTAGATGCATACATTCGCTCGATTATAAGGGATGAAGATGAACTCACCAGCCGTGTACCAAGTACATTCATTTTCCAAAAAATCTTTCCAAAAAGTAGTCGCTGAAAATTTTGGAGGGATAACTACGGTACCTCCAGACAACAGAGTGGCCAATAATCCGCAAATCAATCCATGCACATGAAACAAAGGCATCACCAATAATGTACGGTCTTCTTGTACGAATTTATAAGTTTCGACGATGTTATTCATGGTGGTTGTTAAATTTTTATGTGTAAGCGGTACGCCTTTAAAAGAATCAATTGATAATATATTTTTAATAATTGATTGATGAAATCATTTGATTAATTGTCGGTTTGTACCTTTGGGGCGTCCAGTAGTCCCAGAGGTATGTAAAAGTAATGCAACATCATCTTCTTTTGGCACCACTTCTTTTCTTTCAAATTTATTTGCTTTTTTCCCTATCACGTCTCTCTTCAGATCCAGTTTAATTTGTTGATTCACCAAATCCCACCAAATCTCAAATATCGTAAGATCGAAATCCTTTGCAGCCTTAACAGCCGATATGTTTTTTTCAAAAGATCCACGTGGCACAAACACTACTTTACTTTGCGAATCTTCCAGGTAAAATTTAAATTCATTCAAAGTGTAATTCGGGTTCAGTGGTGCGGCAATATTACGTGATAACGTAACACCTAGAAAAGTGATTGTCAATTCCAACGAATTTGGTAGAACGATCGCGACAGAATGTTGTGATGATGATTGGATGTTTGTTGTTAAATTGTAGAGTTGATTTTGGAAAACACTTAACTGTTTTTTAAGGTCTGGATAATAAAGTTTTATTGGTGGATTGCTATTATTTTCTGAAGAAGGTATAATTAGTGCGTGTGAAGCTGATGAGTGAGAGAAAATTGATCCAAGAGTTTTTTGATCGGACATTTTTTAAATTTTAATCGATTTAGATCTTTAATTTATAACTATTTATCTGGCGTTTTTTTGTGGGGTAACGTCAAAAAATCATTAATGACGTGAGATAAATAAAGCGAATCTTTATACAAAATGAGCTTTGTTTGGCATATAAATTTTGGTCTTGTGAAACCATTTCACGTGTCGTGAATAGGTCCTGGAATCAGTTAATCGAAAGTTTGTCACACAATGAGCTTTCTTTTACCATCTCTCAACACAAAATCCGAAATTGATGCAGTAATCCGCAACACCGAAGAACTTGTAGTGGTATTGCGCTTTGGACGTGCAGTTGATGCGGTGTGTCTAGAATTAGATCATATCGTAAGTGAAACCCATCAGTCATATTTTTTTTCCTAACGCCTAGATTCTAAATATTATCTCGCGGTCATGTGGTCATTTTTTAAAATAAGCTTGCAAAAGCAGCACCTGAACTTGTAAAAATGGCGGTAATTTATACCATTGAGGTGGACAATGTTCCAGAATATGTACAATACTTTGATATTTCCTTAATTCCAGCAACGATTTTTTTCTTTAATGCTCAACATATGAAAGTTGATTATGGGTGAGCAATGATAGATAGATAAGATTACTATTACGTCATTTTAACAGAGATTAATGATTTTTTTACAATAATCTAATCCTTTTTTATTTTATTCAGTACACCAGATCATACTAAATTTATCGGATCATTCATGACAAAACAAGACTTTATTGATCTTGTGGAAGTAATCTATCGTGGTGCTATGCGTGGTAAAAAGATTGTTAAATGTCCTCTCGAGAAAAGTCATATTCCTAACTATCAACTCATATATAAGGATATTTAGAAATGAATTTTTTTTATATATACAATAATATCGTGAATAATATCATGATATTAGGAATGAATGAAATGTTATTGATCACAATTGTTATTATTCTCGTTAATCAGATTCAAAATCATCCCTCACTCTGATTGGATTGTTTTTCTTGCCATGATCATTTGATTCGGCTTTTCTCCTCTTTGACCTATGTTTACTATCTTTTGGCTTCTCGTTCTCCGTGATAATTCCCATGTTATTATTATTGTTAGAAACGTCAAGTTGTCGAATGGCAACCCGTTGATCAACTAATTGCTCAGTCAACCGCGAGATTATTGCTTTTAATGATTCATTCTCAAGTTTCAAAGCTTCGTTCTCTTTAGTCAATAGCGTTGCTTCCTTTGATAGGTTGGTCAGTTGCTCTTGCATCGCTTTTTCTAATGCCTGTTTCTTTGCACGGTATTTTTTACTCGCGATAAGATTACGATGTCGTCGATCTTGAAGCAGTATTTGCGCTGTTGGATGAAGAGCATCTTCATGCGAGGATGCGGAATCTTGGTCGGCGGTAGACTCTTGTTCTTGGCTGTGCGGTGAGAATTCCCGGTGATTATGATGTTCATTGGCGTTGGAAATTATAGTGGCGATATTATTCGTGATTGATTCTAGAATTTGCGTCGTCGTGGTTGATGTTGTTGATTGAGAAGAATAAGAATCGGTGCTAGAACTGGAGGATGTAATTTGAGCAATGTCGGAAGTTTTTGTCGTAACTATCCTATTTGATGTCGCTGAACCGTCATTTTGTTGTGGTATTACTATTTGATGCGCGTTTTCGCGAATCTGTTCTTGTTGATTTAGATTCTTTTCATTAATAAAATTTAATTGAAAATTGAGTGCAACTGGTTTACCAAGTAAACAATTTGATGTCATTTGTTCTAATGAAGTGCCGAAATTTTCGCTATTATTATTATTATTATTATTATTATTATTGATACTAACACAACTATTGTTTTTATTATTATTATTATTGTTATTATTATTGTTATTATGATGATGATGATGAGTACGAGGATGTTGAATTAACGGAAGTTTATCTGATTCGCAAAGTTCGCGCACAGATAATCTTTTCGATACAGTGCTATTCATATCGATATTGTGATTACTAATGTTACTAATGTTATTATTAGTAGTATCACTCATATATTCATTAATATTATTTAAAAAAAGTCAGGTTAAAATATAAAACGATTCACGTTATTTATAGGTTAATTATTTTGCAAAAGAGTGAGGGGGAGAAAAAGAGAGGAAGAGACGAGCAGCTTTTTATTGAAATTCATCATTCATGAGATAATCATCCAAAAGAAGCGTAGTATCATTTTACTTTTTTTCGCTTTCTTTTGATGTGATGATGACAAAGATAAATATGATGATAATTATATGATGACTATTATGATGATAACTATTATTGACCCGCCGCCTCCATTAAAACAATGAAAAGTAGAAAGCTATTGAATAGATTATTTGAAAATTTCGGTTTAAAAAAAATAAATTATATCATTATCGTTATATCATCATCTTCGTCATCATAAATATTCAATCAACAACACCGCCCGTCGTCACATCTATATCGCCGTACTTTGTCGTTTAGTTCGTTTCAATAGCAAAAAAAACCAAAAACTACCGACACACACTCATACACACACACACACGGACGGATGATTGATGTCATTCATATCTTTTTTTAGAAAATATCGTAGTTTAGAGAAAATGGCGTCATTGTTTCTCGATTGACTGATAATGAACCCGCGAAAATACTAACGTTAATGATTGTAATTTAACATTTTCACGCACCCTAGTATGTGTAATTAGTATTTCTGGGTTCAGCTGAAAAACAAATAAATGATCCATGTAATAACAATCATTATCATACTATTATGGAAAATTGACACGATCATTAAAAATTTTGACTTTGTCGGTAAAAAAACAATCTCATAACAATAATGAATCTAGCATAATAGTAACTATAGAATTAATACACTTTACTATCTAATGGAATTTTAGAGTTCAAGATGAAGAGATTTAAACAAGAAGAATTTAAGAGTAATACTTTTAAGGATTTTTTTTCTATTTAACTAAAATCAATGTTGGAATAAATAATAATCATCTTTAAAAGCTTGTATGCAACAAATTGGCTATCTCCATAATGCTCCTAAAACGGTGTGTTCTTATGGTTTTAGATATCTGCGTTCTTACATAGAAATGTTCCCGCTCGTAGTGACTACAACCAATAAGAATGTGTAAATTTTGAACGGCCCGGAAAAGGAAAAATACAGAAAACAGCTCTATTTTTCAAGTTTTTTTTGAATTTTTCCGTTACACATTGATCCTGCTATTTGATTGGTTTACCCCTAAAAATCACATGACCCGTAACTTGACTGATTAAAATGTAAATCAAAAAGCACAAATCAATCTACTAGCACTAACCTATACCCTTAATTCTGGTCATACCTCTATTATATATTAAAAAAATTAATAAATAAATTAGAATTTAAAATGAAATAAATTATTATAATTATATATTAAAAAAATTAATAAATAAATTAGAATTTAAAATGAAATAAATTATTATAATTTTAATAAAATTTTAAAAATATTATTTTAAAATATAAAAAAATTATTATAAAATATTAAAATTTCTAATCTAATTTGATATGATTTGGGGTATAAATATTTATAATAGTAATATTAGTTTTACGCTATTAACCCAGTGGACCAACTT